TCGCAGGCGGCGCAGCGCGGCCGCAGGCGGTCGGCGTGGTGGCGCGGGCAGAGCAGCCGGCCGGCCAGCTCGCAGAAGACGAGGTCGGCCAGTGGCTGGTCGCAGTCGCCGCAGACGAAGCAGGCCGGGTGCCAGGCGGCGCCGGGCAGGCGCGCGGCCGTGACGGCCAGCTGGCCGGCCGGCAGCGGCTGGCGGCACTGGTGGCAGGCGGCGGCGGCCGGCAGCCGCATCACCGCGCCGGCCTCCAGCGCCAGCCGGCGTCCGCGACGCCGACCACTCGGTGAACGCGGCCCGCTCCGGGCCCGAGACGTGCCGGCAGCAGGCCAGCGACAGGTCCTGCGCCGGCAGCTGGCGCAGCAGGCGGCGTGTGCGCTCCCGCTGGCCGGGCGAGCGCAGCAGCGGCCTCCGACCCTCCGGCAGCTGCTGCATGTACTCGGCTGCAGCGCCCTCGGGCAGGCCGGCCGGCAGCCAGGCGTAGCCGGCGCGCAGGGCGTGTCGGACGGCTCGGGGCCGTCCGGCGAGCAGGTGTCCTCCGGACCGCCGCCCCCGGGGTTGGCAGCGGCTGGCTCCGGTGCGGCGCCGGCCGGCAGCACGTCCGCCGCCGCGCCGCCGCCACCGGGCTCCCAGCGACGGCGCGCCGCCTCGGCAGCGCGCAGCTCGGCCCGCACGGCGCGCCACTGATCGGCGGCCGAGTCGCCGGCGCGGCAGGCGGCGCAGCGGCGACGATGGCGCAGCTGGTGCGTCGAGCTGGCCGCCGTCTCCGTCACCGTGTCGTGCGGCGGCTCGGTGGCCGGCGGCGGGAACTCGGCGCACTCCTCGAACGGACAAGGGCTGCGCGGCGACGCCAACTCTTGCGTGGCGCGTCGCTCCGGGCTGCAGGCGAGCGGCGCGCGGCCCGGGCTCGGGCTGGACACTCGCTTCGGCAGGCGAACGGCATCGTCGACCGGCGACGGCTTGTGACGCACGCTGTCGGCTCGCCGCACCAGCTGGACCGGCGACCGGGCTACCTCAGCGGACCGCCACCGGATCCGCTTCTCCGTCTTCGGTTTTGCCGTTGTCGATGTCCCTCCGTCAAAGCCGTCCGTGTTGGGGATCTTGGTCACATCTTTCGCAGCAGCGTCTGCAGGTCTGCTCTTGAGTACTGATCTCTTGCCAACCATCTTCTTCGTTACGAGCAAGAAAGCCTTGATTTGAACGGACAGTCCTCACCACCGCCACCACTGCCAGTCCTATGCCTGGTTGGAGGCGGTTTGTGACTTCGGCCGCCCCCGATTGGCGCGAGCACTGGACGCGGCTCCTCCCGTGCGGCCGACAGTCGCCGCCGCCTCAATTGCGGCCGACTGGTGCGTAGGCAGCTGGTGGTGCACGCACCGCTGGTGCGTGCCGTCGCCGACTGTGGCACCGCGGAGGCAGCGGCTCTCTCAGCTGGGCCTGGTGCGGTCCGAAGGCGGGTCAGACACGCGGCTCCCAGCTGCCGGGCGGGCGGTGCGCGCGCTCCGAGCCGGCCGCGCCGAGTGAAGCCTCCGCCGCCGCCGCCGCGGCCGACGGGCCGCTGGCGCCGCGGCCGACGCCGGGTCGCCCGCCCTTGGCTCTCCACCGTGGGCCACGTCGCTGGCCGTGTCCGGTCACCAGCCGTCTGCCAGCCACCTGACGTCGGTGCGGCCTGCGAACCGCTGTCGCGCGGCCATTACCTCTCTCCATTGTTCTGATTGCACGCTCTTGAAGGTGAGGTGATTTGTCACTTAAAAACATGTTGTTGTCTTAAAAACATGTGTGTTTTACTCAGCCCACACAGAGATCAAATTGACCTGGAGTCGGTGTCGCTAGCGACCTCGGCGGGGCGGGCGGCGCCGTGACCCCGGTCTGACACGCGCTCGCCGTCTGGCCACTGATCAGGACCGATGGCTGACGCGCCGGGCTCGGGCCGGGGGTGTTTGTATTGGCGGAGAGGCCGGGAGCCGGCCGGCCGCTGCTGACGCACCATCTCCGGTCTGGCCACCTGAATCACGGCCTCTGACTGACCCGACCCCGCGCCGGCTCCGGCCGCCCCACTGCCCGGCGGAAGGGCGCGCCCGGCCGCGGGAGCACTGAGGACGGTCTGGTCAGGAGAGCACTGAGGACGGCCGGGTCAGGAGAGCACCGAGGACAGTCTGGTCAGGGGAGCACTGAGGACGGCCAGGTCAGGGGAGCACTGAGGACGGCCAAGTCAGGGGAGCACTGAGGACGGCCAAGTCAGGGGAGCACTGAGGATTGTCTGGTCAGGGGAGCACTGAGGACAGTCTGGTCAGGGGAGTACTGAGGACGGCCAGATCAGGGGAGCACTGAGGACGGCCGGGTCAGGAGAGCACTGAGGACGGCCAGGTCAGGGGAGCACTGGGCACGGCCAGGTCAGCGGAGCACTGAGGACGGCCAAGTCAGGGGAGCACTGAGGACGGTCGGGTCAGGAGAGCACCGAGCACGGACAGATCAGGGGAGCACTGAGGACGGCCAGGTCAGGGAGCACTGAGGATTGTCTGGTCGGGGGAGCACCGAGCACGGACAGGTCAGGGGAACATCGAGGGTGGCGAGGTCAGGGCAACACCAAAGTCGGGCAGGTCAGGGCAACATCAAGGTCGGGCAGGTCAGGGCAACACCAAGGACGGGCAGTTCATGGTAACACAGAAGGCGGCCAGGTCAGTGGAATACCAAGGACGCCGTCTGGTCTGTCAGTTTTACCTTATCAGGTCAGAGTAACACCAAAGACGAGCAGGTCAGGGGAACACCAAGAGCGGCCAGGTCAGATGAACGCCATCTTCGTCATTTTTCATCTTCGACATGTCTTCCCGGTGAATGTCGTTTCCAATGTCAACAAAAGCCGTGGCATTAAAACATGTTTTAGATGCGATCTTGTAAATGAGGCTCGAGATTATCGAAAAAAATGGCGATGGTTTTGTACACGCAGAGGTAATCGCAGTCATCAATGATGAGCGTAGACGAACACTTCGTTAATATGCCAGGCAAAACTTGAAAAGGACGCTAACACCAGACAAGTTTGTCGGTCTGATTGTGGTTTGCAACAGATAATATTAGACATGACGTGGTGTGACGTAAGTTACGCCATGTTACGTGATCTCACGGGTTACAGGCTGAAGTCTACAATCTGGTTGGCCGGCTTGTCCGGTCATGACGTCACGCAGTGACAAAATTGCCAGTCAGCTGTCTGTACACTTGCGGCTAAGGCGCTATTCAAGAATGCAGTTGTTGTGTATGCATGGAAAACTGATGCAAGTATCTGTATTGCACCGCAACAGAGTTTGAGCTACTCAAATGGGAGAAATAGTTGCGCAGTGCAAGAGGTGCATTTGTGTCTATTTTTACGCACGTCAAAGTGGCTAGGCCTAGAGTACGGCGTTCCCTGATGACGGTAGTGTGGGCTTGGACGTCCTGGTGTTCATTGTCATGCTGCAGTAGCCCTGCGTCCGCTATCTATTTTGGGAGGAGGCCTAGCATTTGACCTCCTTTTATTTTTGGTCTGACGTGGGCGCTCGGTTGAACAAAACCGAGATGATTCTCCTGCTTGGAATTCGTTTTGACAGCGGCTTTATTTGCGACGACAGGTGTGCCGCGCAGTGGATGTCCGCTTGCATGCGCTGTTCGTGAGCAGCTGGCCGGCGGCCGGGCGGGGGTCTCCTCCGGGCGTGGAGGCGCCGCCGCCACGCCCTCTGCCCCGCCAGCCCATCGGTCAGATGGTGGTGGTGCGCCACTTCGGGCTCAAAATAGCCCGTCTGTCAATGATTCGGCGTGGCTGTGGTATGCCGACGATATTCCAACACGATGAGTCGGTCGCACGTCTTATCTGCTGGTTAAATCCAGCACACGCTGGATAGACTCAGTGCTATCACGAACATTTCGTTGCAGTAGGCCGGTTCCGAATACGCATGAAAGGCAGCTAACATTGTCGCACATTTATGGTGTTTTGCATAGATCACAATAAGACCACATGAACGCCCGAAACGCAAAACCTCATTCGGGCCTGCGAACGGCAGGACTCTGTGATAGCAGACAGCTGGTGGCAACCGACCGGTCCCCATCGTACACCAATCAGGACCGACGGCAAAACGCCCCGTATCTGGTGACGTATGGCCAGTGAGCATGGGGATGTGATGGTGCGTGTTTGTGTCGGCTCAGTTTGTCTCATGCTGACAGTGACTTTAAAGATTCCATGCGTAGAGAGACGGTGGAGGGTGGAGGGGGGGGGGGGGAGAGATATAAACGTGTTACACGTGCATGCGACTCGTGGTTAAGAAATGGCGAGAGTTAAACAAATTCAAACGAGTTAAAACAGAACATCGCGTAGATTTGATTATGTAGCTTAGCATACGTAGGTGCGGGTTGCAAGGCTGACACTGTTGCTGGTAGACACTGGTTTTATATAATATCCGTCCAAAAGAACATTAAGTTGATAGGCATTTGGACACGACCCCTGGTAGAGGACACAAAATCGCGGCCATTTTTTTTCACGTGACGGATCGCGTGTGTTTGGAAAACGGCGTGCGACATTGCCAGGTAGTTCTGGTGTTGGCCAATTTTTATGTTTACAGAACGCCACGACACAAGTTATGTTGCCACGTCTTCTAGGCTTCATTATGCACGCGTAATCTATAATCGCTTCTGTCAGTTTTTGGTTGGCCTGTGTCCGCAAGCCCTACCTGACTCCACCTGCTGTGTCTGTGTGTGTGTGCGGTAGGCTTGTTCCCCATGCCCATCGGTCGGGTTCAGGGGACGTTGTTCTACGTCAACGCTCCACGTGGCCGCCGCCGGTGGCCAGGCTGTGAGTCGCCTTGGCTGGCTTGGTCTGGCGACCTGCAGCCATGCCGCCGTCACAGCCGCCGCGCTGAGGTGGACACCGTCACACCCGCCGGGTGAAGCAGGTCCTATGCAGGTCCTAAGCAGGTCCAGCTGCTATGGTGACGTGTGCTCTGAGGGCTCGTAACGTCAGCGCGTGCTGTCCCCTCTCGCAGGCGGCCGGAGGCTACCGTCAGCAGGGCAAGACGTACGTCGTCGAGGACGGCGACATCATCTACTTCAAGTTCAACGCTGGCGCTGGGCTGAGTGGCAAGAAAAAGTGAACGCGCGCGCGCGCACGAGATTGCCCTAGGATTGGAATTGTTGTCCATGAAGTGTGCGCGGCTGGTGTTTTGAGGCGGCCCGCGCGGCTGGGGAGGCGCACCCCGCGGTGTGACATGCGCCGTCAGTGATGCGGGGAGTGCGCCGGTGACAGGCTATTAGCATGTTTCGGGCGGTGGCGGCTGGCATCGGGCCAGGCCCGGGTTGTGGGCCGCACGCCGCCTGCAGCAGCTGCAGCCCCGGCTGGCCGGCACGCGCAGCCCGGCTCCCAGTTGGCGGGCGGCGCTCGTTAGAGTCCCGCTTGTCAGTCGTCGCCGCCCGTCCGGAAAGGACGATCGCCCGACCGACGGCGAGGCGACGCTGACGGCGCGCGCGCGCTAAACGGGCCGCGCCGGCTGCGAACCGCAACGCGCAGATGATGCATTGCATGGGATGCAGGGGTGGCTGGGGTTTCGAAAGGGCGTGCGATCTGGCCACACATTACTAACCTGGTAAACGACGTGCTGAGTCCCATTGGTGACTAAGGTTATTTGCCCAGTATCTGCGCTTGACCTAGTCGGCGTGGCCTGCGTAATTTCATAAATCCTATTAAACTAATCGTTACACTGTTTTCTAAACGAGCATGTGGCCTAATTACGCTGTGTTTTTTTGCGTTGTGTGGCTTAACTTTCAAAACTGCGAAATATATTTCTTGCGGGGTTGTAGCTCTTGTCTGTGATGCGGTAGTCATTTTTCCTTACACCACCTATCTTCCTATCTCCTTCCTATCTCCCTTGCTATGCTTCCTAGTCTCCTTTTGAGTATCCAGGCGTGTATCTGATTTTATGTGAGTGGATTGGTTCTGGTTCCGAACCAAAGCGAATGGAGCTTTATGGGAATCTCATTCAAAGGGACTGTCGAAGATCGGAGTCAGATTACAGCATGAAGAGAAACGCCGAATCCGATTCCCAATCATATTTTTGTCATAGAAAACAAAGCGGCAGGAAGTTTTCTTCGGACGGATTGCATTTAAGACAACTGCTATAGCTGCCCCAAAAGAAGTCAAAGTGCAGGGCGTTGTGATACTGCTTGAAGTATGTTTATGTTTGCACACGTAACATGGCATGTGGAACTGCTTGTGCGTAGGCGTATGCGTGCATGCACCATACTCTCGTGCAGGCATATGCATGTACTTCAACCGGAAGCAGAGTGATGCATTCTAACTTCCTTTGGGAGTGGTTGGAGGTTGCAAAAACGCGTCCCGCTCCGCAAAACTCCCTGAGCTGCTTTCCATCCATTTCCATTCAGCACTCCGCAAACGCTTTAGCACGCGATTATTGCCCAGCGGCATCACAGCTAAACTAGAAAACGCCTTTTTGTGGTACACATCTGTGCACATGTTCTTCGCGCATTAAAATAATTGCGTAGTCCATACCCAATCGCCAGGGTGGAGACAGCAGATCGGGAGCCGCGCATGTGCAAACATGACAACGCCGCGCCTGGCAGCGGTGTTGTAACTGCGGTACTGCCTGGGCCGACGCGGTGTCCGTGCGAGGAGCTCGTCGGGGCCTCCCTTAACATGTCAATTGTGAGAGGAGGGGGCTCAGCCCATTCCCTCCAGTGACGTCTTCGGGCCCTCCTGTCAGGAAGCAATCACGCCACTGGTACGAGGGACGAAACATCTCATGGCGTTAAACCTTCAAAGCGAGTCGCTTTGTGTTTCGCCTCAGTGGGCCGAGTTCAGTGACAGGCGAGAGAGATGAAGCATTGGCCGTCTCAGTCAAATCTGATCAGAGAGGGCTCGGCGGCCCTCTGAGGCCCTTAGCTCCACGTTGCCAACAACCATTGGAGCGTTCGCCCTCGGCGATATTTGTGCTGCTGGTCTCCCCCCCCCCCCACGCCCCCGGAGAGGGGGGAGTAGCTGCGATCCAGGCATCAGCAATGCTTTCGTGAGACTTGCAGGGACTACGAATGGAATTTTGGTACTCCAGAGCAAAAGGCGGCGTCGCCACGGCGGGTGCCCCACGCGTCGTGGTAACATGGTGACGGTGCAGCGTCCACAGAGGTCACGGCGCAGCGTCCACAGAGGTCACGGCGCAGCGTCCACAGAGGTCACGGTTGCAGCGTCCACAGAGGGTCACGGCGCAGCGTCACAGAGTCACGGTTGCAGCCGTCCACGAGGGTGCAGCGTCCACAGAGGTCACGGTGCAGCGTCCACAGAGGTCACGGCGCAGCGTCCACAGAGGTCACGGTGCAGCGTCCACAGAGGTCACGGTGGCAGCGTCCACAGAGGTCACGGCTGCAGCGTCCACAGAGGTCACGGCGCAGCGTCCACAGAGGTCACGGCGCAGCGTCCACAGAGGTCACGGCCGCAGCGTCCACAGAGGTCACGGCGCAGCGTCCACAGAGGTCACGGCGCAGCGTCCACAGAGGTCACGGCGCAGCGTCCACAGAGGTCACGGCGCAGCGTCCACAGAGGTCACGGCGTAGCGTCCACAGAGGTCACGGCGCAGCGTCCACAGAGGTCACGGCGCAGCGCCCATACAGGTGACAGCGCAGCGTCCACAGAAGTCACGGCGCGGTGTCCGCAAAGGTGACAGCGTAGCGTCCACAGAGGTCACGGCGCGGCGTCCGTAAAGGTGACAGCGCAGCGTCCGTACAGGTGACGGCCCAGCGTCCACAGAAGTCACGGCGCAGCGTCCGTACAGGTGACGGCACAGCGTCCACAGAGGTCACGGCGCGGTGTCCGCAAAGGTGACAGCGCAGCGTCCACAGAGGTCACGGCGCGGCGTCCGCGAAGGTGACAGCGCAGCGTCCGTACAGGTGACGGCCCAGCGTCCACAGAAGTCACGGCGCAGCGTCCGTACAGGTGACGGCCCAGTGTCCGCGGAGGTCACGGCGCGGCGTCCGCAGAGGTGGCGGCGCAGCTTCCACAGAAGTACCGGCCAGATGTACGCAGAGGTAGCAGCCAAATGTCTGCAGATGTGACGGCCCAGCGTCCACAGGTGTGACGGCACAGCGTCCACAGATGTGACGGCCCAGCGTCCGCAGAGGTGGCGGCCAAACGTCTGCAGCAGGAACGGACGACTCATCCGCGCTTAATCCTTGTGATCCTCTGTTGATGACCGTATTTTCTGTCGCCAGTAGCTTATGTTCACCGGTTAGTCCCTGTCCTTGTTTGTGCTAGAACCATACGCTTATGCAGTTTGACTCTGTGGCCATGGTAGGAAGCGAGGACAACATCAACCCCAGTTTATCTTCCCGACAGCTTCCACGCGGCTTTATATCACATTTGGGCCCAGTCCCGGATCAATAAACACGAGAGGCAATCCAAAGTGACATCTTCCACGCCGGCGGTTTGTGAGCATAGCCACTTAAAACACTGGTAACTAAACAACCTCTGATAGATCTGTTAATGTGAGAGTGGGGAATCTGAATCCTACTTTTTCCTTGGATGCGCGATGTGATGTGATGAGCAACTCCACCAAATGTGGGTAATCGGGAGGACATTACACAACAACCCTACACTGGCCGCGGCACTGGTATGCGGGGGCCATGTCCTGGCACTCACCTGGCACCGACACGCTTCAGCCCAGGCGTCGCCGCATCACTGACGGCTCTGATACACTACCGCTTCTGCAGGCGCTTCCGGTGTGGGAGAGAGAGGCAGGAGGCACTCCAATCGCTGAACCCCTTCATTTCATGACTTATGTTCAGCGTGCGCCCCTTCCCCAGGTGTGAGACCCGGCGACGCCGCGTACCGCCGCCATCGCTGCACCCAGACATTCCATCAATGGTCGCCCGCGCTATTCCCGCCAACCACCGCTTCCAAGGGGAATGCAAACGAAAACTCTGACGATGTTCAATGGCAGGAGACTGCAGATCGCTTATGCAGTAAAACAAACAATATCCAAACAGCACGGCGCCCGGGAGGAACGTACTCTCGAGCATACAAGTTGCTTGCCAATGAAGACAAATTAAATGCAGGATGGAATGAAAATAGCGCACCGTATGCTGTTCGCCCTGGCACTGGTGTCACGCCACCGCTGCCGATTCGATACCAGCTGCCGGCGCGGTGGAGCCTAATATCAGCTTAACAGGTGTCGAGCAAGAACATGGGCGGCGGCAGGTATTTTGATTTGTGAGGGACAGGGTTTGCCAAGTAAAGTAAGTTAAGTTTTAAAAAAGCTTTCCCGTCGACCCACACATCGAACGCTCCGTCAACACGCATGACGTCACGCATTTCAGCCGACAAACGTGCTGACGACAGATCGAACGCGACCTAGGTCAGCCCATACTCTGAAGCTCCGCGGTTTGAATATATTGAATGTGATGAGTCTTCGGAAGGCTCATCCACGTCCCGGCCTGGCGATGCCCATCCTTCTTTCCAGTAGTTTAACTTTACGCTTAGAATCCTCGTCGTGTTTTTACTAGAACCGTAATCGGTAGATGATCTTGCCGAATGTTCTGCATACCTTTATTTCACGCATGGGCCTCTCTCTGAATCGACTTTGAAAAAGTGTCATTTCAGAGCGACGGCCTCCACCTCGACGGCTTATGAGTAAGACGAACAACTATTAAAAATCGGCACCAGCAACAGCCGTAAAAATAAAGCAAACAAATCTAAATTGTAAATGAGCGATGGCAGGCTTGTTTTAGTGAAAAAGACGGGAATGCGAAGCCTAATATCCTTGGGCATGCGTCATGATAAAAGCCATGAAAGGAAGATAATCAGGTAATAACCTATACAATAACCTGGCATTCGGTAGGACACTGCTATTCGGCTTCTGCTACGATTGAACCCATGCCCGATCAAGTTTGACTTACCCAGTTTACATGAGTCGGCGAACCATAACCGTAAATTTGCGATTCGAATCGTTCGCTAAAGTAACGACAATTCGACACGTTTACATGAGCAAGTCGAAAGATTTGTCGTAAATTTACGATTAGCGCTTAGCGCGTTACCTTGGAAATTTGCGATCTTTTAGCGTTGTTTTTGCGTTTCTGGCGCAAGTGCGACGAAAATGGCGTACTGGACCATAACTGAAAGCGAGCATTTCGCGCCCAGACTGCAGGTGGTGGCGGGTAATTGAACGAAGATGGATGGAATGGTGGAATTGTACTTGGCTCAAGCCGTACTTTTGGTATGGTTGTGTGCCAAACATCTGTTGCAGTGTCAAAAGGGTGTTTATGCCATTAAGGGGATGAGCGGGGGTGGCAGAGGGTTTCACACCATAACTCAGTTAAGGAGAAGAAGACGCCGTATCGTTAACTGCGTTCTGGATCTGCACCGAGTTCAGAGACAGCTGCTGCGTGGAGGAAGAAGATGGAGACTGCCCAGAGTCCGCAAGCTGTGGTTCCATCAAGAAGTGATGCAGGTTGGTGTGGTTTTTTCTGAGTGCTGTCTATAGTTAAGTTGTTATTGTCTGAGTGATGGAATGTCTCCTTCTTTGTGACTTTGTGATCATGCAGTTTTGTGACCACAGTTGATCGAACAACCCGGGACCATCACCCTGCTTAAGTTTTGTACCTATCAACATCTGTGCAAGCTATTAAACTATTGCTAAACTATGCAATAACTTAATAGCTTGCACAGATGCTGTATATCGTGAGTGCATGTGCACGTCACATAACCATACTAACCTGCACGTTGCACACTTTTCTCCCATCGATCGCCGACAGAAGCCCCTTCTGAACAATGGCCAGCATCACCCGCTCTTCTTGTAGCGTCCAATGGCGCATGATTTGCAACTTTGATAAAACACCTGTACGCACGCGGGTTAAGACAAAAAACTAATTCAAAGACAAAAAACGCATGAAACGCCGTCTATCGCAGCCCCAAATCGCGCCTCCAGCTCCTCCCGCCAACCCGAAATCCGTGACAGAGCGCCGAAAGGCGCGATGGGGACATGCATAATCTACAAAACGCACTTTTGTCTAGGAATAGCTCAGGTTAAAGGTATAGCTTGATTATTGGATTTATCGGACATCAGTAAGCTTTTATATCTTTTTCGTATTATTTTGTAAATTATTATTGTCAGATTTAAGCAATTTTTCTCAAAACATGCATACAAACACCAGCGGAACGCATCGTTAATTGTGGGTGATCTAGGCGAATCGTAAATTTCCTCTCCCACCACCGTAAATTTACGATACGATTTGTGGCTGTCGCTGCGTCGCTGAAACCCGTTGACATGAGCAAAAACTGCGCATGTTTTCTAATCGTCGTAAAATCGTCCGTTTGGTTGACTCGTAAACGGGGTAACTGACACGGGCGATGACACCGAACGTAAGCCTTTTTATCACCGGCGAGCCTGTCCTGGCGCCGACCTGGCACCGATTTTCTTCAGCTCAGGCGTCACCTCGGCGCTGTCGGAATTGGCGGATACTGCTGGCATGGCCGGTAGGGGTGTCCCCCGTGTGGGGGTGGGCTAGAGGCACTCCCCAACCACTGAACGCCTTCCTCCCCAAGCCACCGCCCACCCTTCCTCAAACGTGAAATCCTGACGTGAAATTGGGCATCACTTTCTCCAAGCATGAAACCCTGAGGGCAAGGGCTCCAGCGATATGCCGTAGCATCAGGCGGCTGCGAGTTACCTATAAGGTAAGGCGCAAATGAAATTTGAGTAAAGCATCACCTGAGAACGTTAAGGGGAAATTTAGCACACGACTTGCATTGAGATTGAAAACGGCACAGGCCGCCAACCGCAACAACAAAGCGACAACGTTGCCACCGCTGCTACCGAATCATCATCAGCTACTGGTATGACGCTGACCAAATCTGCTCAAAATGTAATCGAGTGCAAAGTCCCCCCTTTCGTCCGTCCAGACCTAGCCTTTCTAAATTGTAAGCTTTCCACACATTGCATTCTGGCAATCGTGGCATATGCAGATTGCTATCGATTCGAATATGAGATTAGTTTAAGTTAGCACATACCCGACTCCCTGCAACCTGGTCCAAAGACGGTGATTGGTATCACCTACCTGATGGCTTTGATACGCGAAAGTGATGTGCATACAACTGTATTGGAGACCGTGTCTGTCTGCATGGATGTAATCACCGTTGGTGAGGGTAAGGAAGCATGCGCTCCAGGGACTCAGCCAAATGAGCGGCCAGTGAGAGAGGACCGGTCCCCCTCCAGAGGTCGTAATCTTTCTTTTTTCACCATAGATAACTCTCAAAATAAGGGGAAAACGGCGTGAAGCGCACTCATCGAGCTCCGACCCGTCACTTCGGAGATCCTGCCTGCGGCCTTATGCCCCCCCCCCCCCCCCCCGATTAAGCCAAAGTGAACTATTTTCACGATCAATGTCTATTGTAGAATTAACGGTGTTGTGTTTCTCATCAAACACTATCATTTTAAGCTCAGTTTGTCCGCCATAAACCCACATTTGAGACCCGTCCCTATCAGTATTGTCAATTCCAATTTCAGCTACGTGGCAGCAATGCTTTTCAGAGCTGGTGTCAAAGATAGCAGCATTGCAGCAATTCAAAGTGAGCTGCATGACCGACAGTCACTCACCAGTTGATGGGCAGTCATGGCTGTCCACCTTGTATCGGCGTTTGGCAATGCTGCTGTGTTGTGACGATACTGATAGATATAAACAAATGCCACGCCTCGGTTTCATTCCATTAGCCATCTACAGCAGAGCGACATTTCTTGATATTCAGCACCATCTTAAAATATCTTGTTAATTCTACAATGGCTGACCGGCAGCCGTACCGTCTCACTTACGCCAGGCAACTGCCTTGACCCGGCATTTGATTCAAGTTCGCCTCGACTTCTCTGGGCATCTCTCTCTACCCTTACTTTACGGCGCACTGTGAAACAAACAAGACAGGACCAAGTTTTGGAATTTGGTAGACTAAAAGTGAGGGAAAGTGGCGCAGGAGTTCCAATAAATTTTGCGCTTACATTAAGACGGTGTATATCGCTTTACTACTCTGAATACCTCGTATTGAGGCGCTTCGGGCCTTACGCGGCGGCAGCCACCCCAAGACTAGACGTGTGCCCTGTGGTTCGAAAGCAAACACGAGACGTGGACGGGGATTTTGTGGAAACCGTGTTAATAATGGCGTCTACAGCAGGGAGAAATACCTTGACTGTCGTTCGTGATTTCATGAAGCGTGTTTCCAATACGAAGCGATTTGATCGGCTGATGGGACAGGTAAACGTTATCGTATGTTCTAAAAATAATGTGATGCATAATTGTGATCATGGTGGTTGAGTGGCATAGTTCTGGAATATGAAAATGAGCACTGAAATTGCTAATAACTTGTTATACAGCTCTTTGAAAACCCTCAAATGATTATCTGGTGTGTTGATATGAACCATGGTCATCTAATACAGATAGGATTATCTGGTGTGTTGATATGAACCATGGTCATCTAATACAGATAGGATTATCATCAGGTCAATGCTTTTTCTCATTTAATACAGATAGGATTATCATCAGGTCAAGACCTCATGGGTTCAATTTTGCATGTACGGTACAATGTTGTAGGAAGGAGAAAATATGCTCAAATTATTTAGATGGCCACACGATGATGTTTTATTCATGGTATTTGATACCAGTTACATGGGAATGATGTCCAGAACTGGCATTGTTCAGCTGTTTCAAGCAGCAATTGCTGCTAGCATCTCAGGAATGAAGGATGGGGATAATGTGGATATGCACATTAAGTTATATCTTTCCAAGTTCAGCTACCTGGTTATCACCATATACCAAAATATTTGTATCAGCCCTGCTTTTTTAAGCAATTGTCAAATACTTTTGATTATTTGCTGATCCATGGCTAGTAAGTTCTTTGTGCAGGTATTATTCAGTAGTTTATCCCCAACCCCGCCAACTGGAGTCATTGCAGATGAGGCATTCTGTCCTGCACTCTGCAAGTGGTGCTCCGCAGCAGGCAAACAAGCCATGCCTGAACTATGTTGAGTTGTTGCCCCATTTGACCAACCCCAGCCTGCCTGGTGGCCCAGTTCTACCTGCCCAAATGAAGCCATTGTCCTATCCACCTAGTCCAGCCCCACTCAGGTGGAGCTGTGGGCTGCCTGACCAGCTCCACCCCGTTGTGTCCAGGTTGTTGTCGTGGCCGCCGAGCCCGGCCAGCTGAAGGCCCAGTTCACGGTGGCCGAGGAGCACCTGAACGCGGGCGGCACGCTGCACGGCGGCTACACGGCCTACTTGGTGGACGTGCTATCAACAGCCGCGCTCATGACCGTGCCGCCGAACCTGGCCGGCGTGTCGGTCGACCTGAGTGTCGCGTAAGTGGCCCGAGGCGTCGCCTCCACTCCATTGCGCCTGGTGCGCTAGCGCCGACTGCGATGCCCGTCGCTTTCCGTTCTTTTCATCTTCCCCGGGTTTTTGTTATCGTTTTCGCATCTTGTCTGCATAGTTTCCCCGTCGCCTGGACAGACCAAGCGGACGGATGGACGCTTTGTGGCACTGTGAGCAGCGGGGCACCAGGACAGGTGTTCACCGATCCTCGCGGTCGGCCGATGTCGTATCACCGACCATGCCATCCTCCATTTGCCCGGCTGGCCGTCGCACCGCTGTGCAGCATCTGGCGTGTGTGGACTGTGACATTCGCGCCGCCGGCCGCAGGTACATGAAGGCCGCCAAGGCAGGAGACGTCGTCACCGTGGACGCGCTCACGCTCAAGGTGGGACGTCAGTTAGGCTTCAGCAGCGTCGACCTCAGGAACGACGCCGGCCAGCTGCTCGCGCAGGGCAAGCACACTAAGTTCCTGATTTAGTGGCCTCTGGCGGCCGCTGGCTCCACTTGACCGGCGGGGGCACCGGGGCACCGTGTGGGCGCGGACCTGGGCCGGGCATTGTCGGCCGGCGGCTCCGGCGGAGAACGGCGCCGAGTCGTCAGAAGCCACCCCGACAGTCTTCCAGCGGAGAGACAGTAGTGCGACTGCTGGCGTCCGACGAACTCTACGCCTCGGGGACCAGTGGATAGATGAAATGTCCAGGGTTTCGGTGACAACTTTAATCGTCATTTGACCCTGCTGACCTAACAAGTGCAATGACCCTGGCATTACTGTGTATCAAGGCATTCGCAGCCCGGATACAGTGTAAGGTGCGCATGCAAATGAGTGACCAATGTATAAATAGACTGAGTGCCGGTCTCGGTCGGGCTCCGTAACATCCGTTTCACCACGCTCACATCGTGGGTTTGCCCCAGACAGCTCTCTACGAGGCACACATGACCAAACTCGATGTAGTAGCACGCAATCCAGCCTCCACAACAGGTATCAAAAAGTATTCGCATCCGACGACGATGATCACAGACAACACGATAGCACTGCGCATTTCGAACTTGCCGCATGCACTAGAGGTTCTTGAGCTCCCGCGCGAATGACGTCATGTCCATGAAGTCGCGGCGGGTCTTGCCCTTGCGCGTGCTCGAGAGCTTGCTGTTGACGGCGCCGGCCGCGGCGCGCGCCGTCTCGGTCAGATCACCGTCGGGCCGGCGGCGCAGACAATACAACACTTCGTTGACCTCCTCCGGGATCGGGTACGAGACGCAGGCGGCGAACGTGGCGCTCAGGTCGGCCCGCACGCGGCCGCTCAGCGCCGCGTCCCGGGCCACCAGGTTCAGCACGAACACGCCTGCCGCGGGACACTGCATCAGTCACTGGGCGGCGGAGGCAGCAGCGCCCGCGAGCAGACGGTGGACTGCGTGCTCCTGCCACAGTGGCACGGGACTCGAGGGTCGGACGGCGCCCAACAGCGGCGACCGCGCGACTCTGGCCTGGTAGCAGGAATATTGGCAGCCCACCAGGATTCGAAGGCCCAGACGAATTTGGAGCCGCGCGCTCCATTCTTTTGGATCATAAACCCACTTGCACTGATTCCGCCACAGGGTCAGGGGAGGAGCAATACCTCAACATTCGTTTCGTTTGTGTGACGCTAGCGGCGTTCTAAGGAAACAAATCGCTTCATAAGCTCAATGTGCACGCCGCTTTTGATTAGTGGTGGAGTCCCTGGTCATCAGTGGTGCAGCCCCTGGTCATCAGTGGTGGAGCCCCTGGTCATCAGTGGTGCAGCCCCTGGTCATCAGTGGTGGAGCCCCTGATCATCAGTGGTGGAGCCCCTGGTCATCAGTGGTGGAGCCGATAGTCGCGTGCCGATTCCAAAAACCAACGCGGGGCATTGCGACGGAAGCACTGTCTGCAGTTATACGGCGAGCTATAGCGGTACAGGTGTGGAAAGTAATCTTACGTCCCAAGATGGTGGCGTTTATCAAATATACATGAGTCCGCTGAACTCACAGTACACATTAAAAACCGAACATCCAGCAACGCGCGAACGAAGACCGACGGCAGAAGCATCTTCCTATCACAGACGTCAACAGTTAATCACTGCCTCACAGCGGGTCCGCAGCCGAACTTACCGTCCTCACACAGGCAATCGCGGACATCGCGGAGCAGGTCTGGCTCCACGAACGGAGCCGGCGGGCAGCTCATGCCCAAGCTGGGGTCCTTGCAGTCCACGTCAAACATGATGACCGAGTACTGCCGACCTGTCAAACAGCATGACGTCACAGCGGTGTCATGGTTAGGTGTCGGTCAAAAATACATCGCCAACTTGGCGAATCACACAGCAATGCGCGATCGCTGTGGTATTTCTTGTTAGTACCAGACGTTCAAAGATTTACTCCCCACAGATGTGCCTCTTCGTGGATGGATGATGGGTGGATCAGATGGGTGGATCGGATCTTTCACACGGAACTAAGTTATTGAACGCGAAAAATAACTTCGCATTTTTAAACTTAAAGCGCCAAAAATTAAAATAAACGACTTAACGCCAAAAATAATTATGTCATGAACTTGCAGTTTCTATGTTATAATTTTGAATCTCGCCCAGCTAAATGCATCGGATGCTTGCTTTCTTGGCGCATCAAACAAAGCGCTTGAGAGGGTTCTGGTGGCGTGTGGCACCAGATATATTAGCGGCGCCTGCGTCCGAATTTACGCTCCAGGCGTCGTTAACCGTCCCGAAGGCCAGGTCAAGTAGCTGCCAGTCCCACCCTGAGAATCCTACTTCCCTGGCAATAAACATAAGAACGTCTTGGGATTTCGTCTTTTGCAAACATTAAAACACAGAACTGTTTGTTAACGCAAGATAATAGAATGAGCAACGCATCAATGCTTCAGCAAGTCAACTTTCAAACACGCATCTCGATATGGAAGCCGGGCATTGCGATCTCGTGTTTCCGGTGGCGTCCTAAAATTTTGTATGCTTCCGTGGCCAATGGGGCCGACCAGAATCTCCTGGAGCAGTAGTCTTAGAAAGAATAGCGCGTTATTTGGAGATTTTTAGACTTCACCTTTACAGCACAGAAGCTGTGGATCATATAAGTCAAGGTATCTTGCGGTGGAACAAGGGCCTTGCGAGAGCCTAGGCAACACGCCCGGCAAGTGATACCTGCAGCGACAGATGCATCGCCGCTTCGAAGATACACTGCACTGCTACCAAAAAACGAGCGTGCCCAAGAGCAGTTTTGCCGAGCTTTATCCTGACGTCTACCAAAACGCATCTGTTTTAAACGCAATGTGCTTTACTAAAGCCACAGTAACAGAGCGACCCTCAGGTATCAGGTGGTCACTGTACACGACTGAGAGGTGTTAACTTCAGTCGGCGTGAGCTGCACATGAGTGCGGGCAGCTGCTGGGTCGGTACGGCTGGACCCCGAATGGCATTTGCCAGCGGCCGGAAAGGCGAGAGGAGCTTCCCTACCACTGACGGTGTCAACCGGAGCGGTGGGAGCCGCCTAAACACGCGCCCGGTCGGCGGTCGGCCGGTCGCCCTCCTCTGCCTGCTGCTGGCGCCGAGTCTGCCGCGGCCGGCGGCAGCCGTCAACAGCACGGCGCCGCCGCCGCCCGGCGCGGTAGCACGCTACCACGATTGCGACTGCGGCGTGCCCATCTACCCGGTCGGTCGCATCGTGAACGGCGTGCCCACGCGCCGCGAGGAGTTCCCCTGGATGGTGGCGCTGTTCGCCGGCCGCTCCTTCCGCAACCCACCCAAGTGCGGCGGCTCGCTGGTCACCGACCGGCACGTGGTCACAGCCGCCCACTGCCTCACCTACTTCTCGGGCCTGTCGCCGTCCAACACGTACGCGCTGGTCGGCGCCTACAACTGGACCGACCGGTACGACGTGCACAAGTCGCAGCTGGTGCGCGTGTTCGACGGCTTCCCCATGTCCACCTTCGACATGGACAAGTTCGACGGCGACATAGCGCTGCTGGAGCTGGAGCAGCCGGTCGAGCTCAACGCCTTCACCTACCCCATCTGCCTGCCGCCAGCGAACTTCACGCTGGAGCACGCGGCAGACGGACCGTTGCTAGTGATCGGGTACGGCCGGCTGTGGGCGCTCACCAGCGACGAGACGGGCCCGCAGCCGCAGGACCTGTTCAAGACGGTGCGCAAGATGCGCCTGGTGGACGGCCCCACCTGCTCCGAGGACCGGCAGGTGAAGCGGACCTTCCACAAGTCGATGCCGCTGTCGGCGCGGCAGCTGTGCGCGTACGGCGATGACACCGACTCGTGCCAGGGCGACTCCGGCGGGCCGCTGATGTACTTCGACCGCCAGCGGTACCGCTACTACCTGACCGGCCTGGTTAGCTACGGCGCCATGCACTGCAACGCGCCCGGCCTGCCCGGCTTCTACACCAATGTCATCCACCCGAGCATCCGCAACTACATCGCCTGCAACATCGTCGACGGAGTCACCTGCAGGCACTGACGCCGGTGGCGCGCCCTTCTCCGAGCTGCTCCGCGGCGTCACGGCTGCATGACCGCGGAGCGCGTGGCCTAGACGGCCAGGCGCGGTCAGTCGCAGCATCAGGTGCGCGCGACCCTTTTGCGCCTGACTCGGAGGAACAGCGACCGCGCACGTGTCGCGCTACCGACCGACTGAGACCATGATGAGACCGCGGCACGCCGCTGGGCGGGTCCGAGTCGAGGCGGGCGCGCGACTGACTGGCGGAGCCCGGCGCCCACGCGCAGGCTGCAGCGGGCCGCTCGCCGGCGCATCGGCTGCCCTCTCTGTGTCGACCTCGAGCCACGCCAAGCCGCACCACGGCTGGGACTGAACACCTGGGCATGCCGACACTGCACACGTTCGAGCGCGGCACAGACGGCGACCGAACGCAGGCGGGCGCGGCAGCGAGGCACGGCCAGGCGGAGCTGCCGCGGCGGCCGCCGGCGCGGCCCCACAGTCCCACAGGCTGCAGGGTGTCCGGCGCCCTCCCGGCGGCTCTCAGCTCAAGTTGGGAGCGATGTCACGTGATGTGGAGGCAGCTGACGTGGTGAATGTTGGGAGCGATGTCACGTGATGTGGAGGCAACTGACGTGGTGAATGTTGGGAGCGATGTCACGTGATGTGGAGGCAACTGACGTGGTGAATGTTGGGAGCGATGTCACGTGATGTGGAGGCAACTGACTGGTGAATGTTGGGAGCGGGATGAAAACTAGATCGTTGACATCAATAGCGTTGTCAGATTGCCAGATCCGGTGACAATGAGCATTCGACGGCGGCCTTTGTCCCCAATGGGAGGGGACTGCACCTTATCCTGTGACGCATGTCCCTTGGAACACATGCGCCGTTTGACGCACTCTCAACGCACATGGTGAGACCCGTAGGTTTACAGTTGAACTGTGCTAGGCGTAAGCACACACACACGACAAGAATAAAAGGCCAACATCCATCGGTTTTTGTATCGTAGAAATTGCGAGCACTGACAAAAACGTGGAAGTAGTATCTGGAAGGTCAGACCAGGCAAAGTTCGCCGAAAACGAATGAATGCAATGAGCACCACCTTCGAAACAATCGTGTGCGTCCGGAAGTGTGGAGAGTATTCGGTGGCCGCCGCCCTGGCCGCATTCAGTCACTGAGTCCAATTCAGATTTCCGGTGTTTTCACGTTTGAAACCCAATCCATCCGACTGGGTACTACAAGGCCGGCGTGACGTCATTGGAAAACCCCCATCCCGAAAGCGTGGAAGGATCACCACTGAATAAGAGCATGACCGTCCACTTATTAATCGTTCCCAGCAACAACATCCGCACATGTTACCAAAAAAACAAACAAACAAAAAACACTCAAAGAAAAAACGATTATGATCATCTTGAAGGATTATGATAATCTTGCTAAATGATATCAAAAAAAGGAAAAGAGGAGACTTCCGCATAACAAAATGTCAATTGCCCTTGAAGCTGAACTACTACGTGTTTGACCGCGTTGAGCCCAGCGCTGCAGTGGTTCACACTGGGCGCTGCATTGTGCGGTGTTCCGGCGCCCTGGAGACCCTGACCCCGTGTCCCGGGATACGCCAGCCCGTGCTGTACGGCCCTGTCAACCCATGCACCGACCGCGCTGCGCCGGGTGGTGCCGTCCCGGCTGATTCCTACAACGACCACGTTCAATACGCTTCGAGACAAATCGTACACCAATGCCGTTTTCTGATCGCGGACGGCTCGCGCGCTCACCCTGCGTTTTGCAGTCCCGGATGAAGTGGAGGCCGTCGGCCACGTGCACGGTTAGCCGCCGGTCCTCGGCGAAGTCGAACCAGTCGCGCGCTACGGCCACCATCTCCGGGTCGATGTCCACCACGTCGAGGGCGGCCTGCACGCGGCAGGTCGGCGGGTCGGATGGGAGCGGAAGGCACGGGGACAACAACCGGCGACTAACGGTACGGTCACAGACACAGAGACACACGCACGCACGCACGCACGCACACACACACACACGCACACATCATATATATATATATATATATATATATATATATATATATATATATATATATATATAATCAGTCTTAATTTATTAAACCATACACCAGCTCAAGACGACCCAGTACATGCTGCCGACGAAGGCGAACCCCGAACGCGAGGACGCCCGGCGGCGGCCATTACCTGGCTGAACTTGTCATGTAGGAAGCGCGCCAGCCCGCCGCCACCCAGCCCCACCAGCAGCAGGCGGGCCGGCCGGTCGGCAGCACCGGCCAGGCCCAGGCCGGCCGCCATGTACCGATGATGCAAGCACGAGAGGTGCTCCGCGTCCACCGCCAACGAGCGCTGGCCGCCCTTCGCCGCCACTGCCGCAGCGGTCGGCAGGGTCAGTGGACGGCATCATCAGCATCATCATCATCATCATCATCTAGGCGATCAATGACGTGCAGCAGCTCTCCACGGGTGGTAGGTGGCAGCCCAGGCGAAGGAGAGCGCATACATCGCGAAGACGTCAACGCGTGATCCCGTCACCACGCACGCGCGGGAAATGAGGCAGCAGGACACGGCGACAACAGAGCACCACACATCAGCTGTCAATGAGAAAACGGGACACAGCTTGCACCCAACCCCAAGCAGCCCGTTGGCCGTTGTTAGTCAAACATATAAGCCAGTCGAAAACAGCACAGAGCAATGTCTGAACAGGCAGAGGAAGAGCGTGACAGCTGACGTCCGCTGGACTGCCGCGAAGCGCAGCATGGCAAACCTGGTTTGAGTTTGGCCTCCGACTGAACGATGTTGACGTTCGAGAGGAAGACGAGTCGGCGGAAGACGTCGCCATGCTCGAGGTGTACGTCCTCCACCACGTAGTCGCCGGAGACAGCGCTAGTGCCGCGGTGACGCAGCTCCCGCCGCCCCAGGTCACCGGCACAGGTCAGGAACGGCACCTGTAGGGTCACATAGCACCAGGCATGGTGTTGGTCAGGTCATGGAGGGTCAGGAATGGTGTCTGCACGGTCACACAGTGTCAGACACGGTGTTGGAGCGTCAGGTCAGGTCAGGTCAGGTCATGGAGGGTCATGGGGGTCGGGAACGGCATCTGTGCGGCAACACAGCGTCCGGGACGGTGTTGATAAGGTCACAGAAGGTCAGGAATGGCACCTATCCGGTCAGAGAGTCAGGGACAGTACTGACCAGGTCATGGATGTTCATGAGTGTCGTCTGTCTACCGGGCCATAGGCGTGAGGACCGATTACGCACGATATCAGATACTGGCATGGAGACGAACTCAGGCTTTTGGCTTTGAAACCAAATCCGAAGCCAAGGCGCAGACGAAGCCCAAGTCGAGGACGAGCCGCTGGCTTTGAAATTTTCAAAATTGAAGCCAAAGCTGAGGCTGGTGGCTTCATGTTTTAAAACGTCACGCCGGATCCGAAGCGCACCAGCGTGTAGACAGCGCCTTCCACATATCTGGCGGCTTCGAGCGTAGGATACGTGGAGCCAAAGCCGAAACCTTTGGTTTAGAATCCCAAGACCAAAGCAGGAGCCGACTCTGGCGTGCAGCAGTGTTTCGCGAAAGCCAACCCATTTTCGGGTCTGCTAAGACCGCATGGGATCGCATGGCACACAATTAGGGTTTCGTGGGGTGGCTGAGACCAGGCGGTGACAACAAATGGAAGCTTTTCGAATGTGTGGTTGTGCATCGTTTCAGACAATTAGCTCTCCGGCCGTTGTCAGGCATTAATTGGTGCTGACAATTTGTTAATTTATTTTTTTAACTAATTGGTGATGGCTGATTGATCTTCGGCCATGTATACGCCGCAGCCTCGACAGGGTGCATGGCGTGGTAGGTTGACAGGACGAACAGGACTGTTTTGTCGAGTAAAGTCGCAAACAAAGAGAAAATGACCATTACGGTGTAGAGGCCATCAGCTCAAAATGAGATATGGCCGAGGTCGGTGCTCAAATTAGAAGGCTGAGGACGAAGGCGGAGCCCGATGTTGAAAAAAGCACAGAGCTGAAGCCGACGCCGTTTCAAATCGCACGGGGAGATAGTCGAAGCTCGTCAGCCGGGGAAAATAGTTCAAAGCCGAAATGGAACCAAAAACCTTTGGCGGAAAACTGGCATTTCACCAAAGCAGCTGCCGAAGCCGGTTTCGTCCCATGCTCGATCAGACAGATTAGAGAGCAACGATAAATGCGTGTTTCATATCACAAAGAGTTGGAAATGGTGCCTGCTACTTGTCACGTCAGATCGTCAGAATGGCACCAGTCACTCACCGGGTCACAACTGACACAACGGGCGGAGAACCGCGGCACGCAGCCCTGGTGACCGCGTCACTGCATGCTCACACACATACCCTGCCGCGACGCCGACCAGGCCCCCTGAGCCGGCCGGCCTCTGACCTGGACATCGTCCCGGAGGTGCGCCGGCCGCAGCTGGAGCACGCTGCCCGACAGCTGCTCCTGCACCTCCTGCAGGGCGCCGTAGCGCCGCCGCCGGTCAGGCAGGTGAACCACCACCAGCCGGTCATGACCAGCCGTCTCCGCCAGCTGACGGCGGCCGGCCGGCGTGCCGAACAGCCACTCCGTCTCCCTGGCGACGGCGGAAAGCGACGGTGACGCACGGCCGTCGTCCGCCGCCGCCGCCCCTGGTAACGGCAGCTGCCGGCGCTAATGCACGGCCAATCCGTGTCCCTGGCAACGGCAGCAGCCGGCGGCAATGCACGGCCAATCCGTCTCCCTGGCAACGGCAGCTGACGGCTCTAATGCACGGCCAATCCGTCTCCCTGGCAACGGCGGCTGCCGGCGCTAATGCACGGCCAATCAGTCTTGGCAACCAGAAGCAGTGGCACGCAGCTACTTCATCTCCAGGGCAACAGGATGCGATGGCCGGGCGACACGTGATAACCCCGTCTCCCTACACCCGCAAAAGACGGCTGCAACAGTCAGATTGTCTTCCCAACAACAGAAATGGGCGGCGGCGACGCACTGCCGCCGGACACCATTCTCTAGCTTCAAGCACTTCGAGTTCCGATAATGGGCGGCGGGGTCCTCACCGCCCCTGCGGCACGATGAAGATGGCGAACGCCTTCTTCGTCTTCTTGCGCCAGCGGTCGACGACGAAAAGCGTGAACCTGGCCTCGTCGCCATCGGCATCGCACAGCTCCAGCCGCACGTCCTCACCGCTGCCAGGAGCAGCCAGACCGTGGCGCGTGAAGGCGAACTGCTGCAGCCCGGTGACCGCCTGCCGCACGGCGTCGGCCGAGGGCAGCCGACGCGGCCGCTCGTCCTGCAGGCTCACCTCCAGCACCTGCCCGGCGGCGCGGCGCCGGCCCCGGGTCAATGACCAGGCGGCCGTCTCGCCTTTGAGCTTTCACGCCGGGCATGGCATTGTGTAATCACATGCTGATAGCGCTACGAGACGTGAACACGGACACCAGATCGTTGACGAACGGAAACTTACTGGCTGAGATAATCGGCTTCAGCACGGCTCCCAACGAAATAATCTTAAGCAAGGACAAAATTGTCCGCAACAAAACTGTGCATACGGTTGCAATAGTAGCTAGATTTCCTCCACAAACTGACACCTGCCGGCCCAAAGCCGCAAAAAAGCAATTTTGTTTTGCTGAAAGCCATCGACTTTTCGGATTTATGACAGCTCAAACACGCAAAAATATCCAAAGCAAAGGATGAACTTACGCTCATGGGCTTCCGGTCCGGCAGGAGTTCAAACTTGTGCACACCACAATAAAGACAGGGAAAGGTATCCCACCGGAGTCGGAGTTCTCAGCACCCTTACACCTGAAAAAATACACACATTACATGGCGAACATATTAAAAACCCATGGTCACAAAATGAAATACTAAAGGATGAGATGTCGGGTGATTGCTGGCATGTGTTACAAATGTGGTCCTTCAACTCTCATCACCAACATTAACACAAGCAAAATCCCGACCAGAGGACCGATGGCGAGCTTTTCAAATCGGGCTAAGCCACTCATTACGCACTCATATCTTAACCATCCAGACGGCGTCCAGAATACTGTGGATCTCTGGTATGATCTCAAGACGTAGTCCAGAACACCAGCATATCGTGATAAACATGATTTGGCTGTACACTGAAAGTTCACGAACAAGATGCTTAATTTTAGCATAACCACGATGGCAGCAATCGACATTTCTAACCGCGAAGCACTGACGAACCCCGAAACACCATCACGGAATACCAGAGCATCAAACAAAGTTAGCTCACTTCCCCAGTAATCGCTGAGAGCTTACGACCTGTGCCACTGCCTGTGGCCTGACCTGCAAATGCGAACCATCCAGCCCTGCTGTGGGAACCACTCCAGCAGCTTCTTGAGAATGTGGCCCTGCAGCAGCGACACGCAGACGTACCTCCCGCCAACCTTTAGCACCCGGCCGATCTCCTGAAACGGCACCGCGGTCCGTCGTCACGCACCTCCAGCAAACCCTCGCAAACCCTGAGCAAACCCTGAGATGTGGACGTGGCTAGCTGCTGGAGTGTACCTGCACAGCACACCAATATGACCAGCGAGGAGGCTTCTCCACGTCCAGCACGTTCAACGACGTCACGCGCCTCCAGCAAACCCTCGCCTGAGATGTGGACGTGGCTAGCTGCCGGAGTGCACCCGCACAGCATACCAATACGACCGGCGAGGAGGCTTCTCCACGTCCAGCACGTTCAACAACGTCACGCGTCCGCACGCGGAGCCATCACAGCAACGGCGATGACGCACCGTGAACATGGTGTCCACCATGCGCGCCGTGTGCTCGTCGTCCTGGGTGAAGACGGCGTCCAGCGTGCCCTTGTCGAGCACGCACGTGAAGTTCTTGTCCGGGAACTCGAGCTTCATCAAGTCCATGCGGGTGAAGGTCATGCCGAGCGGGCCGTATTTCTGCAGCATTTGACGAATGACGACCTCGCTGATGTCCACCGACACCATCGACCTGAAAACGGCACCAACCTGACGGTCAATGCCAGCTGATGTCCACGACACCATCGACTGGCCAGACACCACATTGATTGGGCAACACACCATTGACCTGAAATGTGCAAGGCACTGACAGATACATCATAAATGTGACAAACGTGCCATCAATTCAGGGAGTATGCTACCTACTTGACAAGCACACCAGCACTTTAATACATCTAGATAAAGATATGACACTGTATGTACCAACTCACTACTTACCCAATAAACATACAAGCCACATTGCATGTCCTCAATATTACAAATCGGTTATACACATTGGTCAGATGGTTACCCCCAAATGGATGGCAATGATTGAACTCACAAAACACCAATCACAAGATAATCCAGCAAGCAATTATTCATTGTTATCAATAATTCAAAAGCAAATACCTCACTGCTTTGAAATGAGCTGTTCATATGAAAAACAGAACAACCTGATGGAGGTGTACTTTAGTTCATATGTATAGTGCCTGAAGTTTGTTTTGTTGCCCTTTTAGCCCTAGCTGTTACATGCACAGCTGTACAGAACCTCAAAGCAGCGATGACTTAACTGCTCCTCTGCACACCTTTTTTATTAGTGACCAAAATAATGTGCCATCAGTCTAACTCTTTTACAATCATGTAACATGAAATGTGCACAAAAAACTGCATAGCTTCCCAAATGACAATCTAAAGGCAGAGATGTTGCAGATTGATATTATGATGTGTAAGTTTACAGAACAGATTGAAGCTGCATGCCTTCTGCTCTATTCAGTTGCCCATGTGCCATGCCTTCACAGACAACACAGTAGTATACATGGAAGACATATTTGCATAGCAAGTAGTTACACTTTTGCTGCACCTGAAATGTGAGTCTTCCTGAAGAAACCAGCTTCACTTACATCATGCCTGCTATTCAAACTTCACAGATCAGGATCATTGATCAGGGATCTTTGGATGGATACAAAGTCCAGCCTGAGCATGAATCAATTCCTCCACAAACACTGCATCAGTTGCATAAGTTTAACAAGTTCAGCATGCACAATGGATATGTTCGGCACATCACT